GCGGCCCCTGCACTCCAGTCTGGGTGACTGAGTAAGACTCCAACTCAAAAAAAAAAAAAAAGAAATTCCAAGGCTTCCTTTGGCATTGATTCTTTTTAAAAATATATATATAATTTTCCTTATTTCAACAGCTTTGGGGTACAAGTGGAAGCACCGTAACCTTGACCTTTTTGGTTACATGGTTGCTTTGCAAAGTCATGAGGAAGTCTGGGCTTTCAGTGTACCTGTCACCCCCATTGGTGCCCATTGTATCTGATAGGTGATTTTTCCTCCCTCCCCCGCTTCTCACCCTCCCTCTTCTGGGTCTCCCGTGTCCTTGATGTCATTCACTATGCCTCTGCAGACCCTTAGTTTAGCTCCCTTAGTTTGTTTTTCTGTTCACTTAGGATAATGGTCTTCAATTCCGTCCAAGTTGCTGCAAAAGACAATATTTTGTTTTGTCTTATGACTGAATAGTATTCCATGGTATAGGCCACATTTTCATTAACCACCGATCCACTGATGGGCATTGAGGATGATCTTTTCACCACATCTTTTGCCATGGCGCGGATGTGGTGAAAAGAGAATGCCCACACACTGTTGGTGGGAACGTAAATTAGTTCAGCCTCCGTGGAAGTCACTATGGAGATTTCTCAAAGAACCATAAGTAGATTTATCATTCGCTCCAGCATTTCCACCACTTGATAGCCACCTAAGGAGATACCAGAGAGGTCATTGCACAAAAAAGGACCCCTGTGCTCGCATGTTTATGGAGCTGGTTATTGCTTCCTGAATTGCAGGGAGACACCCCATCACAGTCACAGCTCTCACCTCGGCTGGGAACCTTGGGGAGGATGGAATCCTGAGCTGTACTTTCGAACCTGACATCAGACTTTCCGATATCGTGATCCAATGGCTGAAGGAAGGTGTGGTGGGCTTGGTCCACGAGTTCAAAGAGGGCAGAGATGACCTGTCAGACCAGGAGGAGACGTTCAGAGGCCGAACAGCAGTGTTTGCCGACCAAGTGATAGTTGGCAACGCCTCCCTGAGGCTGAAAAATGTGCAACTCACGGACGCCGGCATCTACAAATGTTACATCATCACGTCCAAGGGCAAGGGGAGTGCTAACCTTGAGTATAAAACTGGAGGTGAGTTGCTTCTGAAGAGAGGGAAAGAAAGCCCCAAAGGGTATTTGAGGCTAAAGATTGTGAGCTGCTGATGACATATCAGTTGTGAACAAAACCAAAGTCCCTCTCGCTTCTGCCCGCAGCCATCGTTACTGTTTTACATCTAAGCCCCATGCCAACCTCCAAGGTGACTGGCTATAATATAGGTTTTAAAATCTTATGTTCTGGGCTCTTGTCACTTCTGAATTTTCAGATGTAGCCCCCAAAATGTTTTGCTGAAATAAGTGTAGTCTCTTCTGTGGTAGCCCCTGGTATTGCTAATAAGAGAAGCCTAAAACCTAGCCTGGGACGTGTCTATGCTAAGGAGGCCCAAGCTCAAGTCTGAAATCAGTGCCTCCAGAGACTCCTGGCAGGGGACCCACCTTAGGAGAAGTTCAAAGGGAACTAACCAAAATGGTATTGTCCTATAAACTCATTAACTCTGCCCCCCTCATGAAATCAACCCTGTCTTGCCAACTCAGTTTAACATATGTTTTCTCAACGTATGCACCAGGAATTTAGATAGATACTATGAGGAACAGAAGGATGATTAAGAAAACAAAGATAAATGCCCCTCCTCTCTCAGAGCTTAGAGTGTAGATCTACACTCTTACAGAGATGAGGGCCAGGATAGGGATAATAAAAGTATGCATATGACTATAATAATTGGCAGAGGGTATCAATGCTTTAAGAGAAATAGAGAGAGATCTAGAGCTTCTGAGGAAGAGAGAGATCACATCCAAACGCGTGAGAGGGAAGGGATAGGAAAGCCCCCGTGGAGAAGATGGCGTTTGAGGTGTCTGAAAGGACTTGCAGAAAGTATACCGAGCCCTGTAGCCTAAAACAGTCTGCACAAGCCTTTCTTGAGCACTTCCTGAGATGTACATGTAATGATCCGAAGCACAGATCTAGATTCAGGCTGTGCAAGTACAGTGGCCTGGGTAAGGCCACCTCTCCAAGGCTCGGTTTCCTCATCTTAAGATGGAAAATAGTGGAGTCATGCTTGTCAAAGGGGACACTGGAGTCCACTGACAGCTTTTCTGTCGGTAGACCTAGAAGAATTGAAGCAACAAAATAAATTACATAGTGCTGAATGAAAACTCAAATATAAATACACATGACTCCATAGTTAAATCCATAAATGAAGGAAATGAAACAAGTCTTCCTTACAGATGAATTCCACATAATGTGTTTGGCTCCCCCCACCGCCCCGTCCAAGCGGGGAAGTTTAATACCCTCCCCACCCTACTCAGGGTGTGTTGGACTTAGTCAAGTCCAGCTTCCAAAGAAAGTTGGCAAACACTGCTTTCCAGGTGACCAAGGTTAACCTCAGCAGTGACAAGCCATGCTGATAGCATGAACCTTCTGGCGTGATGCGGGGAGGAGGCCCTTTACCCCCTGGGGTCTTCATCTCCAAAACTATGGCCTCAGTCTAATCATGCCCCGGCAGGAGCATCCTACACAATACCTGCCCAGGACTCCTTAAAACAGTCAGGGTCATGGGAAAGACTGAGAAAATGTCACAGACTAAAAGAACCTAAGGAGACAATGAACAAAAGCACCGTGGTATCCATCACGCACCATGGTTATTTAAGATGTGAGCATAGTCGGGCTCAGCGACTCAGCCTGTCGTCCCACGCCTTTGGGAGGCTGAGGTGAGTGGATGGCCTGAGCCCGCGGGTTCGAGAACCGCCTGGGCAACTTGGCGAGACCTCATCTCCAAAATAAATCAAAAAATTAGCCGGGTGTTGTAGTGTGCGCCTATAGTTCCAGCTACTTCGAAGGCTGAGGCGGAAGGATCCCCGGAGCCCAGCAGGTTGAGGCTGCGGTGGCCGGGAG